GATCAGATTGTGTCATTAAATTACTGATCTTTGATCAGATTGTGTCACTAAATTACTGATCTTTGATCAGATTGTGTCACTAAATTACTGATCTTTGTTCAGATCTTTGAAGAAACTAAACATGGCAGCTATAAGACGTGAGCGCTGGCAACCACCAGGAGGCGAGTACACAGAGATGAAGAAAAGGAGCTGGGGAGGGAGGGGGGATAATTGGCTCACCCTTCTTAGGAGAGCTCTGTGGGGAGGTGGGAGGGGAGGAGAGCTGGGAGGAGGCGTTGGACACAGTGTCCTCTGGCTGTCTTCTGTGTCTGTCGCTTCCCTCCTCCGACAGAGACAAGATCTTTTTCAGGGACTGGGGTGAACTCGTGCCTGCAGATGTTTGAAGAAAACAAAAAGACAATTATTTTTATTATGAGGAACATTTTTCCAGGGGTGACGGGCTGCATTGTTTGGATTTATTTATTTGTTTGTTTTTATGTGTGCTTGTTGCCAGATAGCCTCTAGGTGGCAGCACTGTTACAAAAATGCTCAAAAGAGCTGCTCTGCTGTTTGCTAACAGGATGGGAAGATAAATAAAAACAAGGTAAATGTAACAATAAAAAGGTCAAAAGATTAGAGGAGATTTAAATAGACAGATTTTAATTTGGACAGAAACATCCTAATTTGTATGAAAAATAATGTCCCATGTAGAATAAACTTTACAAAAGTAATTCTGATCTAAACCAAATATATTTGAACATTTTACGTATAGAGAACATTCACAAGCAGCTATGTTTGTGCTCTTACCAAACGGTGGCAGATCCTTGACCGGGACTCTCTTCCGGGACGGGTACAGGGCCACGGCAGGAACCTGCAGGACCTGGTTCCCTTTGGCCAACGGGCCTCGTTGCTGATTAGCAGCTCTGGACACCACTGGAGAAGTGTCAGGTCGTTTCCCCCCGGCATTCTTGGGCACTGAGGAGCATAAAGTGTTCAATTGGTCTCCATGACAGTTTTTACATTTCAGGGTGAACATATTTTTACTGCGTCAGGTTTGGGATTAAATCAGTAATTTTTTAATCTTTGAGCTTCATCTGTGTTTGGTTGTGAATCTCAGGAATGTGACGTTACCCATGAGTACTTAGAGTTACAAATAATTACGGATACACCGATACTAGTACCAGATATCAGTGCAACATATGTGTGCTCGTACTTGTACTCATAAAAATAATTTTGATACCACAGTACTGATACCACTTTAAGAGGTTCACCTCTCAGTTCAGCAGTCAGGTGGTGGTGGAGGAATAATGTAGAAGTATTTTTTTAATAACAGGTAGTCCTGGTGCACATGGTGGCGATGATCTAAATAACAACAACCAACAGAAGACGAAGCCATGTGGACGTATTTAAAAGTACACGGTTGAGCAAACGAGGGGCCTGGGATTACACGGACCTGAGCCCGAGCTTTAGTAAACATTCTCACAGCTCAGTTCTCTGCAAGAGGTGAAGGCCTCCATCGTCATCATCACTGAGGTGAGCGTGTGGTTCTGATCTTCCACCAGGGGTCGTGGATGAGCCTGAAAAGCTGCTGACATGATCTCTGAAGCAAGGCACTGAGCCAAGCTAGGCAGCTGTTATCTGCTGTCTTCACTCTGCTGCTGTGAGACACAAACTCCGTCCTTCATCTTACTCTTTACTTTATAAATGATTCAATATCAACTTTGAGCGCTGTTACTGGGAGGAATGGTGTCGCTGCTGTGCAGAAAATGACCCTGGTGATGATGGTTAAATATGACGGACACTTTGATGGGGGGCATATAAAGGAATTAGTTTAATTTCCTTTATTTTTATGTTTAAAGTGCATGTTTTTAACATACAAATCACCTTTTGTAAAGGGTTAAGCTTGAAATGAAAATTTCTAATTGTAGGATAATAGTATTTATAAATACTCGTATCAGTACTTTGTATCGTAAGTACTTGTACTGTGAATGTAATGCAGCACTGGTGCAAAGCATGAACGGGCGCTCTTACACGTGCTGATGGAGGGTTCACACTGCAGCGACAGGGTCTGCAGGCTCTCCTCGTTCGTTTCCAGACTCAGGTTGGACAGGTACTGCTTCACCTTCCTGGACATCTGGGCGTCCTCGTAGAGCTTTTTGGCGTTTAGGAAGGAGCTGCGTCGCACCCGCTTCTTGTGCCCGCCCGTCTGGCTGACGTCGAGCACGGCGGCGTTGGCGCTGCCCTGACTTAGAGAACTGGTTGCACGCACAAGTGTCCACACAACAAGGAGCAGATGTTTTCAGAGCGCGGACAAAACAAAGACAAACATATAAAAAAGGAAAGAAGGATAATTAATGAATTAATTCACAGTTAAAATAAAAATAAAATCTTTGGAGGCTAAAGCCGTGTTAAACACTAGGGGGCTACAAAGGGAGCGCGGTGTTTAACTCAAACATGCAGAACAGCTTTAGGGTTTTTCTCTCAACTCCACAACATTCCACACATTCCAGGCGGGGGGGGGGGGGGGGTGACAGCTGAACTCAGAGCAGAGAGGACGACTACTGTGGCACAGTCACTTTACATTTCTGCGCCAGGCTGGTGGGACTGTAGCGAACACTTCGGCTCGTGGCCTCGGCCCCAGAGACAGCGTGACTAACTGGCTTCATATGGTCAAATATGAACACAGCTCTAAAGTTATAAATTAATAAATAAATCACTGCAGGGTTCCCTCACTTCTTTTGTTTTAAACGTCAGACTTCTCCAGACTTCTTCACTAATTTCCAGCCATTTTTGACACCCAAATAAAAAAGTTTGCTGTGGCTGCATCAGCTGGAGAACAGCTGGAGAACAGCTGGAGAACAGCTGGAGAAAACAAATAAAGGAAACATTTCTTGCTTGTCTGTCATAATTTTATGATCCTATTTGTTTCCAGTGCATCAAGTTCATTTTGTGAAACTATGTTTTGATTCAGGATAAAATATAAAAAGGCAACTTTAGGACTTCGAACAGCTCTAATTGCAAAATATTCAACAAATGACAAATATTTTTTAATCAAAACATAAAACTAGAGGTTTAAAACCTTTGCACCATGTCTAGTTTTAATACACTGAATTTAACATGCACACTGCAGAGTATGTATCATACATTTATTTAAAAGTATTCAAATTTTTATCTTGCTTTATCTTACTCAAATGTTTTTCATATTAATTTTCTTATTTTTCACTCTTTCAACCATTATTTCTACAGGTTAGTCTCATTGAGCCACGATGACTTGTTTACGACAGAGACCTGATTTAGGCAGAACATATAAAGTACAGACAACAATAAAGTAAACAATGACAACAATAAACTACAGCAAAAATGCTGTTAAAAATTATATTTATACAATATTTATATATATGTTTATTTAGGTTAAATATCGTTGCTGTATATCCATTTTTTAAGAGCTGGAAACTAGTAAAAGTTTCTTTATTACTATGTAATTCTCTGAAGGAACCAAGTCTGGGATGTTTTCTTTGTAAACAAATATGGATGATCATGTTTGTAAACAGAAAAGTTCATTTTTGTGCAAACGCAGGAGTCTGGTGGTAGAAATAAAAAGTCAACAACACAAGTCGCACTAAAGAAAACAATCAACCGTTATCAACTTCGAGCGGCCAGTTTGGATGTTTGGGTCCAAGAGGATCTACAGCTTCGTTCACCAGAACGTCACCGCAGGCCTTCACGTGACTAGAAGCCTAAAGTTTGTGATGATCATTAAAAAAATCTTCAACTGAGCTCGTTCCAAGCAAGAACAGGCTGAACATTTTTACTTCCTGTATTTCAGCATCGGTTCAGATCAGCGTCTCAAAGAAAACGTGGGATGAGCCTGAAATTAGGAGACGGACCACCTGCCTGAAAATGAAGAATCAAGCTGACCCAACGGGTCATGAACGCCACAGACATGGTCCTCCAGAGTCACTTGTTTTGTCTATCTGGGTCATTTGGGCCTGGTACTGTGCCATACAGTACATTGGACCATTGTTGTTCAGATTCATAAAGAAGCGAGTGATTAATGTAACGCACCGACATGTAAAGATAAACGGCACGTGTCGTCTTTCTGCCCACCAGCACAGTTTGAGACCGGGCGGTCACGCTGTAGTGATCGTTCTTATTAAACAGCATCATTATAAATATAAACTATAGTTTCTTTTCTTTTCTAGATCACTGGAATGAGCTTCCATATGTTTTGTTGGCTGTTCAATAGCATCCATTTGACCGGAGAATGTAAGAAAAACAGAACTGCACATATCCCTGCTAGTGAGAGTATCGACAGGCAGATGAAACCTAAAAGGAAAACGTGCATGCAGTTTGTTGTAAATGACAAAAGGTCACATTTGCTCATGTCAGCGCAGCAGTAGTGCCGGTGTGACCTTATGTCCACACATGTGACCTTTGCTACACTCAGTATCCTGAGGTTAGTGTCAAGCAGAATTAGTGGGAGCAACTCATTCTGGTTAATAAAAATAAAAGGATTTATAAAAGAAGCGAGGCAGAATGCAAGCTGGCAGAAAGATGAACCACGCAGCAGAGAAGGCAAAGATGGGGTTACCAGACTTACCCTAAACTTCTCCATTTCTTCTTCCTAGAGGGTGGGCGCCATGAACAAAGAGGCGTGGGGTGGGGAGGCAAAGGGTTTATAAGTAGAAAAAGAAACAGAGGAGACAAAGCTTAGGACAGGAAAGACCACTTAGATCACCAAAGAGAAGCAATTTCACCACATGAAAGTCACAAGAGAGGAAATCCAAGAGCAACACCACCAAAAAAATGACATAATTACACAAAGACACAGTTTGACAGAAGCTCTGAGCCAAAGACACAGTTTGACAGAAGCTCTGAGCCCATCTTACACCAACAACGTGAGGAAACAGTAGCTGCTTGAAGGGAAAGCGTGCTGCAGCAACTCAACTGGGTCTGATTGAACCGACTGACCCTGCAGTCTGTTAGGCAGTAAAGTGCTGACTGGTCCTACGGGGAAGGTGAACGATCTAGAATTAGTATAATACTCAATCTTCATGGACAAGTTTCTTCACCTGGTACGGAACATGAGGGCTGGGTCCATATTGACGGAGGCCATGCGACCAACATGACGGATTTCTTTGGCAATCATCCGAAGCTTCTCAAAGTTCACCAGGCCGTCCACTTTAGAGTCATTGCCTGGAAATTCAGGGAGTAAAAACAACAGTCAGGGCTAAATGACAATGAAAATATAAAAAAAACAAGTGTCAGGATGTCTGAGCACACAAGGGGTGTCCGAACTACGGCAACTAGAGACTAACATTTAACAATTCAATAAAACTGTAAAAGCTAAAGCAAGTAGTCAAAATATTGGCTTATCAATTTCTTATTTATGCCTTTTGTTATACTTTATTTGATTGGTTAATGAACAGGTAAATATTTTTATGAAACTAAATAAACGTGGTAGAATTTGAAAGAGATAAAAAAACTTTGTCCAGCCAAGCTAAAGTAGCTTAGCAATAACCGATTTCAGTGCAGATAGCGACGTCCACTGTTAAACAAGAAGTCTGGCGCATTACACACATTTAAACAAACTGTTTACAACTGAGACACACAGAAGTTGGTTTTGTTGGTAGATATAGAAATCATTTTTAAGCAAATCAGTCAAAAGTGGATTTATTTGATAATTTTGACATCAAATGAAGGTCTGTATTATTAAATGTCTGAAATATTCAGATTTGTCTCTGCCTAACATGAGTTTTTCTCTCACGTATATTCAGTTAAAATATTACACGTGTACAACTAATTATGACCGATGCTAAATGTCATCAGGTTCCTGCCGTACCTTCGTGAAGGAAGGTCAGGTCCTTTTTGATGACTGGGAACAGGGGGATGATCGGCGGCTGGAGGTTCTGATTGTTGAGAACGTTCCTGTACTTCGCCATATTCCTCGACGGGTCAAAGAGGTCCTGCAGGTCCCCGAACAGCTTCTCGTACTTGCTGGGTAACTTTTCCCATGTTCCCCTCAGTCTGGAGACTGGAGCCAGGTTAAGACCACTGTGAGGAGACACGAGCGGTCAGAAAACAGGAGTACGATAAAACGGTTTTCTTTATAGCAGTAAAATATACAGATGTATAAATTAAAGTATAAAATGGTGTGGTGTAAACTAAAGTAAAAACAAGAATAATAAAATGATTGTATGTTACCTGATGATGGCAAACATGGAGTTGAAGTTCTTGCACTCTCGACAGTGCAGGGCGATCTTGACGAAGTGCTTGACGATCTTCATGCGCTTCAGCTGGTTTGGCTCCCGCACCACCTCCGTTGCCACCCAAAAGGTTTCGTGGTTAATGGACTCCTCGAAGCGCTTGAGGCTGACCGAGCCCACCTTGGAGCGCAGCTTGAACAGGTCGTCAATGTATTCGGTGGGCTCGATGGCACAGAACAGTTCAAACGCTCTCATGGAGAGCTGGGTGGCCACCTCCACAGTGCTGAGCTGCAACAAGGAGATCTGGCCTTCTCGAAGGAGGTCCTGGGCATCCTCATCTGAACACAACGTCTCTGTCTCCATGTTGCTCTTTAGGTAGTATCTAATGGGACAGAAGGTTGTTAAGTAGCTGCATCGCTAGAAAAAACAGCAACTTCAGTCACTCGTTGGTGACGAGTCACCAAAACTTTGTTAGCCTTTGTTCTTTATTTAACATGGACATTCTCCTGAGATAATGACTCAATTCCTGGGGGCTCTACTGTATAAATGGTTATGGTACAACTTCCTGTCAGACAGGAAGTAGAAGTCAGCATTGGTTAACCAAGAGAGGAGCACGGACCGCGGTTTATTTTAAAGGAATTTACATTCAGTCGAGCAGATAAAACTCTGTTTTTGTTTTGTTCACATTTATTTAACAACCATAAAGTTTATTAAAATAGCTGTGCTGCGTTCAGGTACCTGTTGTGTTCAGGGCTGCAGAACAACCAGACCAAACTAAATCAGTTTCTACAACAACAGAGTTTGAACATGGACCAAAACAAAAAGAGTTCCTGTGAAAAGAGGTCTAGTTTCATCTCCCACCTACAGATGAAGAATTAAGAAGAAATATGCTAGAATATGTAGCTAAATATGCTAGTAGATGTAGCTAAA